CTCTTACTGAGCGTTATGACTTTTGCTACTGTTTTACTGCTGCTGTTACTGACGTTACGATGCTGTTACTTTTTTTATCGTTTTTACGCCTGAACGCTGCTTTTACGAGCTTTTACTTTTTTATCGGTTGTTACTGCTGCGTTACTGCGCTTTTCGAGCGTTACTGCTTTTGTTACTTTGCTGCTGTTTTACGTTTTGTTCTTTTACTGCTGCTGTTACTGTGTTGTTACTGTTATGCTGTTTTCCATCTTTTACTTTTACTGCTGTTTTCTGCTACCTTCACCCACCTCCCACCACCCACCTGAGAACCCCCCCCTCCGGCAGCCAATACCACCACCCACCCATCAAACCCCCACCCACCCCCCCAAACAAGAGGAAGAATACAGGCCTTGTTTTTTCTAGGCTGCTGGGGGGTTTGGTGGGGTGAGTAGGTGGGTAGGGGGGGGTAAGTGGTGGGGAAAGGGGGTAAGTGGTGGGTGGTGGACAAAAGGCCAGGTTGGGGTTGGAGTCATTTTTTTTGTTACCTCTGTGTCAATGTTGTCCGTGGGTACGTTTCGTCTCTCTCTCTCTCTCCTCCCCTCTCCCTCTCCTCTCTCTCTCCTCTCTCCTCTTTCTTTTCCCTTTCTCAAATTTAGATTTCTCACCTAGTTGTACTCCCTATTGAGGTTTTCAGGGGTCGGTCCAACCCCTGCCCCGCCTCTTCACTGGTCGCTACAGGCACTCTCCCTGAACATGAGCTTTTTTCATACCTCTGCTTTTAAAAAATGTATGGATCCTGACTCCCAACAATCGTTCCCCCAAAATATTCCACTTCCTACTACTCGGGGTGAAGAAATACTTCCTAACTCCCTTGATTTATCTTTCTTTTAGCTTTCCCAAATGTGCCCCTTGTTACTGTGTCCAATCTCTGGGAAAACCTTTTTTTGTCCACCTTGTCAAATTTCCCCCAGTATTTTGTATTTTTATCATTCCCCCCTACTCTCCTGTCCTCCAGTGTCGCAGGGTTTTTTCCCCCTTACCTCTCCTCATAGGACATACCTCTTACTCGGGGGCAGCTTTTGCAAACCTTTGCACTTTTTCCCAGTTTCTTCACGGCTTGGTAGGGTGGGTTCCCAAATGGTGCCTCATACTCCCAAAATAGGCCTAACTACCGTGACAGGGTCCTGAACGATTTCCTTTTTAAATGTCGGGAAAGCGTTCTGAGGTTTTCTAGGCGCCCCAAAGCTGCAGCAGTTATTTGGTTGATGTGCCTTCAGGAGTGGGCCCGTGTTATACTCACCGTGTGTGGTGGTGTGTGTGGTGTTGTTTTGTATGTGTGTGTTGTTGTGTGTGTTGTGTGATTGTGTGTGTTGTTTGTGTTGTTTTGTGTGTATGTGTGTTGTTATTTTTGGTGTGTTTGGGTTGTTGTGTGTGTGTGGGTGTGTGTTTGTGTGTGTGTGTTGTGGTGTGGTGTGTGTGTGGTTGTTGTCTGTGTGTGGGTGCGTGTGTGGTCAGGTCTACCCAAGTAACCGAAGTATTTCCGGGGTCAACGCCCCCACGACCCTTTTATAACCAGCCCCCCGGGGATCACACGGCCTGATCAAACCCAATCTTTATTTGGGGGCCGCACGTATCCAACGAGGAAACCCCAACCCGGCGACCGGCACTGACTTACATCTGTCCCCTCCCCTTTAAGACACCCCGGGTCTTGAAAGACACCCCGGGTTTTTTAAGACACCCAGGGCTTGAAAACATCCCGGGCTGAAGACCCCAGGGGGGCTTGAAGACACCCAAGGCTTGAAGAAAACCCAGGGGTTTAGAAGACCCCAGGGGGCTTAAAGACACCCAGGGGCCCCGAAGACACCAGGGGGCTTTAAGCACCCAGGCTTGAAAACACACAGGGTTTGAAGACACCAAGGGGTCTAAGACACCCCCGGGTCTTGAAGACACCCAGGGTTTTGAAGAAAACCCAGGGTCTTGAAGGCACCCAGGGGTCCCTTTAAGACCCCAGGGGGTCTTGAAATTCCCGGGGGCTTGAAGACACCCAGGGACTTTAAAACACCCCCGGGCCTTGAAGATACCCAGGGCTTGAAGACAACCCCGGGGTCTTTACACCCAGGGGGCTTGATGACACCCAGGGGTCTTTAAGAACCCCGGGTCTTGAAAAACCCCCAGGGGGCTTGAAAACACCAGGGTCTTAAGACACCCAGGGGGCTTTAAACACAAAGGGGGGCAGAAGACACCCAGGGGTCTTTAAACACCCAGGGTCTTGAAGCAGCCCGGGTTTTTAAGACACCCAGGGGGCTTGAAACAGCCAGGGTCTTGAAGACACCCAGGTCTTGAAGACACCCATGGTCTTGAAGACACCCCGGGTCTTGAAACTCCAGGGGGCTTGAAGACACCCAGGGGTCTTTAAGCACCAGGGGTCTTAAAAACACCCCGGGGCTTTAAGACATCCCGGGGGCTTGAAAACACCCCGGGGGGGCTTGAAGAACCCCGGGGTCTTGAAGACACCCAGGGTCTGAAGACCCCAGGGGTTTTTTTAAGACAACCCAAGGGTCTTGAAGACACCCGGGGGCTGAAGACACCCGGGTCTTGGAAACCCGGAGCTTGAAGACACCCAGGGTCTTTAAGACACCCGGGTCTAGAAGACCCCCGGGTCTTGAAAACACCCGGGGGCTTGAAGACTCCAGGGGGGCTTTAAACACCCAGGGGCTTGAAGACAACAGGGGGCTTGAAAAACACCAAGGGTCATGAAGACACCCAGGGGTCTTGAAGACACCCGGGGTTTTTAAAACACCCAGGGGTCTTTAAAAACCCCAGGGCTTGAAGGGACCCAGGGTCTTTAAACACCCAGGGGGGGCTTTTAAGTAATTTCCCGGGGGCTGAAAACACCCAGGGGGCTTTAAGACACCCAGGGGGTCTTGAAGATACCCAGGGGTCTTTAAAACACCCAGGGGTCCCTTTACACCCAGGGGGCCTTTATGACACCCAGGGGTCTTTTTAAGACACCCAGGGTTTGAAGACACAAAGGGGCATAAGACACCCAGGGCTTGAAGACCCCGGGGTCTTAAAACGCCAGGGTTTTTTAAAACACCCAGGGGTCTTGAAGACCCCAGGGGGTTGAAGACACCCAGGGTCTGAAAACACCCAGGGCTGAAGACACCCAGGGGTCTTGAAACATCCCGGGGCTTGGGGACACCCGGGGGCTTGAAGACACGCAGGGGGCTTAAAGACCCCAGGAGCTTTAAGACATCCAGGGGGCTGAAGACACCCAGGGGGGCTTAAACACCCAGGGGCTTGAAAAAACCCAGGGTTTTGAAGACACCCCGGGGGCTTTAAGCACCCAGGGGTCTTTAAGACCCCAGGGGTTTGAAAACACCAGGGGGCTTGAAACACCCCGGGGGCTTGAAAACACCCGGGGGTCTTTAAGACAACCATGGAACTTGAAGACACCCAGGGTCTTGAAGACACTCAGGGGTCTTGAAAACACCCAGGGGTCTTGAAGACACCCATGGGTCTTGAAGACACCCAGGGGTCTTGAAGACACCCAGGGGTCTTGAAGACACCCAGGGGTCTTGAAAACACCCAGGGGTCTTGAAAACACCCAGGGGTCTTGAAGACACCCAGGGGTCTTGAAGATACCCAGGAGTATGCGGCACCAGTTTGGAACCCACACCTAGCCAAGCACGTAAAGAAACTAGAGAAAGTGCAAAGGTTTGCAACAAGACTAGTCCCAGAGTTAAGAGGTATGTCCTACGAGGAGAGGTTAAGGGAAATCAACCTGACGACACTGGATGACAGGAGAGATAGGGGGGACATGATAACGACATACAAAATACTGAGAGGAATTGACAAGGTGGACAAAGACAGGATGTTCCAGAGATAGGACACAGCAACATGGGGACACAGTTGGAAGTTGAAGACACAGATGAATCACAGGGATGTTAGGAAGTATTTCTTCAGCCACAGAGTAGTCAGGAAGTGGAATAGTTTGGGAAGTGACGTAGTGGGCAGGATCCATACATAGCTTTAAGCAGAGGTACGATAAAGCTCATGGTTCAGGGAGAGTGACCTAGTGGCGACCAGTGAAGAGGCGGGGCCAGGAGCTTGGAATCGACCCCTGCAACCTCAACTAGGTGAGCTAGGTGAGGTGAGTACACACACACACACCAAACACATACACAACCATAAACTCCACACGTCACCTCGGTTCTGGAGGTGTCTAAAACACATCCAATATGGCGACGGTAAACTGGACGTGTCTAAAACATGTCCAGTACTGGCGACGGCAAACTGGACCAGCGTCAGGAAACACTTGTCCTGTTTCCTGACAAACCTTACCTAACGTAACGTAACGTAACCTAACCTAACCTAACCTGAAGACCAGCGTCAGGAAACACTTGTCCTGTTTCCTGACAAACCTTACCTAACCTAACCTGAAGACCAGCGTCAGGAAACACTTGTCCTGTTTCCTGACAAACCTTACCTAACCTAACCTGAAGACCAGCGTCAGGAAACACTTGTCCTGTTTCCTGACAAACCTTACCTAACCTAACCTGAAGACCAGCGTCAGGAAACACTTGTCCTGTTTCCTGACAAACCTTACCTAACTTAACCTGAAGACCAGCGTCAGGAAACACTTGTCCTGTTTCCTGACAAACCTTACCTAACCTAACCTCACTAGACATGATAACAGTGCAGAATCCTGCACAATACCCAACAGTGGTCTTCAACAAGTCCCAAACGTATCTACCCGAGTCAAAAGCCCACGAGTATGCAGAATATACCAAAATCAGGTTCATTATTTTGAAACACTCTAATGCGGCGAGGTAGATTGAATTTGATAGGGACCTGCATTTTGAAGGTCGTGTTTTTTTTTTTTGCACTTTGAAAACCTCTAAATAAAACATTGTTGTGTGAGAGTGTAGGTGGGTGAGATAGCTTGTTTCGGGGGAGGTCCGGGTGTGATAAGATATCTGGGGGGGGGGTGATATGGTATCTGGAGATAGTGAGGACAACAGACAGCAAGAAGCCTTCCGTTAGTCATGGTGATACCCATTAAACAAACGGATTCCCTGGGGAAGGAGGGGTCCCAACAGGAAGAACAGAGGCAACAGCAGCAACAGCAACAGCAGCAACAACAACAACAGCAGCAGCAGCAGTGGCAACAACAGCAACAGCAGCAGCAGCAGCAGTGGCAACAACAACAGCAGCAACAGCAACAGCAGCAACAACAACAGCAGCAGCAGCAGCAACAGAAGCAACAACAGCAGCAGCAGCAACAACAGCAGTTACCACTTCAACAGCAGCGACAGGAGCAACAGAGCCTGTTACTACACCAGCAACAGGTAAGTCTGTGTACCTTCATCACAGTAATACAGGTATCTCTGGAGGAATACCTTTAAAGGTGATATACTATCAATGGTATCCCTGATGCACCATCAAAGGTATCCCTGATGATATACCTTCAAAGGTGTCCCTGACGACATGCCATCAAAGGTATCCCTAGTGATATACCATCAAAGTTATCCTTAATGATATACCATCAAAGGTACCCCTGATGATATACCATCAAAGGTATCCCTGAACTGGTATCTTTCCTGCTTTCATTGGTTTAGTTTATCCCTTGAGAAAGCCTCATCCGACCGGCTTCAAACTTTACAACACCGCTGTGGCGTAACAAGGGAAGAGGGTGACGCAACTCCTGGCGTCGTGCACTCTAGTTAATCCGTATAAAAAAATTATTTTTGCCTAGTAGCCAATGTAAATATTGGTGGTAGCCTCGCCAGTTGAATCGCAGAATACCTAGGCAAATAGATTATCTTCTATCCTCTATCAAAAGTTTAGAAGCGAGTATTGGTATACTGCAGGGAGGAGTCCTCAGACCCATGCTATTTAATGCCCTGATTAATACGTAAGTATTGATTCCGATTCCTTCCTATTGGAAGCCTGGGCAACCGAGACGGAACAGCCCCGGACTGTCAGTTTGCAGACCGCGGTTCGAGCGGCTCGTCCACCCTTCTGTTTATCCATTAGCAGTTGTTTAAACTTAATTTGAGTGCATGTAGTTGTTAGCTATGCTGATGACAGCTTGATCCGTACACCTAGGCACACCATCACCTACCTAACAACACAGGAGTCACGTGATCACATTGTCTACCTGTCCTCATCTCAACACGTCATTCCTTAGGTCACTCTGTCACTCACATCTCACTCTCTACCTATATATACTGTCTGTTTAACCTCTGTATGTTAGAAGTGACCAAGTGTATATTTTTGGGGGCAGTGATGAATTAAGACGTTTATTTGGAAAATCAATATCTGTTTGAAAAATATACGGCAATGATATGACAGATAATTGATTTAATAAGAAATATGACTACTCTCTTCTTTCGTAAACATTGCTGCACACTGCGGCACAAAGTCGACCAATGTCGAAGACATTTTTGCAGGGTCCTCGTTGTGGTACCAGGTGGTAAAATGGCAGCAATTAGCTGTTGTTATTAGTCCTGTTTCACGATCCTCCGTTTGGGTATTGCCCAGAGATTCTCATTTGGGTTGAGGGCAGGAGAGTTTCCAGGCCAATTTAGAACGCTTAGCCCCACACTCTTCGAAGAATCAGCATTTTTTCTGGAAGTGTTGCATGGAGCAAGATCCTGCTGGAAAATGGCTTCTCCATCAGGAAAGTCTCTATACACGATGGGAAGAAAGTGAGTTGTCAGGATTACTTTGTATTTGTCAGTGTTCATCGTTCCCTCAACAATAACAAGCCGTCCAGAGCCTTTAAATGTGTCCATTCCGAAGAGGTTCGCCTTTGTTCCTTCTCGCTACCACTGGTCTGTACCCATGTACTTCACTACCACTGGTCTGTACCCATGTACTTCACTACTACTGGTCTGTAACCATGTACTTCACTACCACTGGTCTGTACCCATGTACTTCACTACCACTGATCTGTACCCATGTACTTCACTACTACTGGTCTGTAACCAAGTACTTCACTACCACTGGTCTGTACCCATGTACTTCACTACCACTGGTCTGTACCCATGTACTTCACTACCACTGGTCTGTACCCATGTACTTCACTACCACTGATCTGTACCCATGTACTTCACTACTACTGGTCTGTAACCAAGTACTTTACTATCACTGATCTGTACCCATGTACTTTACTACCACTGATCTGTGCCCATGTACTTCACTACCACTGATCTGTACCCATGTACTTCACTACCACTGATCTGTACCCATGTACTTCCCTACCACTGATCTGTACCCATGCACTTCACTACCACTCATATGTACCCATGTACTTCACTACCACTGATCTGTACCCATGTACTTCACTTCCACTGATCTGTACCCATGTACTTCACTACCACTGATCTGTACCCATGTACTTCACTACTACTGGTCTGTACCCATGTACTTTACTATCACTGATCTGTACCCATGTACTTTACTACCATTGATCTGTACCCATGTGCTTTACTACCACTGATCTGTACCCATGTACTTCACTACCACTGATCTGTACGGCTCTGGTGGCCTGGTGGTTAACGCTCTCGCTTCACACGGCGAGGGCCCGGGTTCAATTCCCAGCCAGAGTAGAAACATTGGACGTGTTTCTTTCCACCTGTTGTCTATGTTCCCCATCAGTAAAATGGGTACCTGGGTGTTAGTCGACTGGTGTGGGTCGCATCCTGGGACACTGACCTAAGGAGGCCTGGTCACAGACCGGGCCGCGGGGGCGTTGACCCCCGGAACTCTCTCCAGGTAAACTCTCTCCAGGTATGTACTTCCCTACCACTGATCTGTACCCATGTACTTCACTACCACTGATATGTACTCATGTACTTCACTACCACTGATCTGTACCCATGTACTTCACTTCCACTGATCTGTACCCATGTACTTCACTACCACTGATCTGTACCCATGTACTTCACTTCCACTGATCTCTACCCATGTACTTCACTACCACTGATCTGTACCCATGTACTTCACTACCACTGATCTGTACTCATGTACTTCACTACCACTGATCTGTACCCATGTACTTCACTACCACTGATCTGTACCCATGTACTTCACTACCACTGATCTGTACCCATGTACTTCACTACCACTGATCTGTACCCATGTACCTCAAAATGCGCCGCATCTGATCGAGTGCCCACCGCAGCTATTTTCCTTCACATCATCAGTCAGTAATTCTTTACCGGGTTTCTGGCAGCTTTGCCAGCTTCAAGGAGCCTTCGTCGAGCAGTTGAAGACTCAACACTTACATCAGCTGAAGTCAAATCTCTCTGTAGATCTTTTCTGATTTTCTTGGGATCCTTCACATTATTTTTTATGATAATCTTGTCATATCCGTCGACGCAGCGCTCCACAATCACTAGTGTCGTCAGTTCTCTTCAGAATCCGACCAACAGTTTACTTTGCAGGGCTCGAATATTCATCGATCTGTCTGATACTCAACTCAGAATGTTTTCTAAAAGCTACAATACTTGCACACTTCCTAGATGTAACATTAATCATGAATTTCAACAGTAATCGTGAATTGAAAGGGAGAATTTGACAAAACCACATTCACTCACAGAGCACATTTGCAGGAATAGCCTTACAGAACAACAGCTGTTGTAGCGCTGATAAGAGTCACAGGATAATACTATAACTGTTATAGGACAGACAAGAGTCGCTCGGTTACAAGTACTTATGGCAGTCTGACAGACACACAGACTGACTGATGTTGTAGTGGCCAGACTTAGGCTTGGTTACAAGTACTGACTGGTGTTGTAGTGGCCAGGCTTAGGCTTGGTTACAAGTACCGACTGATGTTGTAGTGGCCAGGCTTAGGCTTGGTTACAAGTACTGACTGATGTTGTAGTGGCCAGGCTTAGGCTTGGTTACAAGTACTGACTGGTGTTGTAGTGGCCAGGCTTAGGCTTGGTTACAAGTACTGACTGATGTTGTAGTGGCCAGGCTTAGTCTTGGTTACAAGTACTGACTGGTGTTGTAGTGGCCAGGCTTAGGCTTGGTTATAAGTACTGACTGATGTTGTAGTGGCCAGGCTTAGGCTTGGTTACAAGTACTGACTGATGTTGTAGTGGCCAGGCTTAGTCTTGGTTACAAGTACTGACTGGTGTTGTAGTGGCCAGGCTTAGGCTTGGTTACAAGTACTGACTGATGTTGTAGTGGCCAGGCTTAGTCTTGGTTACAAGTACTGACTGGTGTTGTAGTGGCCAGGCTTAGGCTTGGTTACAAGTACTTCTGGCAGTTTGGGAGACACACAGATGATGATCAAACTAAATGTAAATTATGTGATCAGGCATATGGTCACTGCCTTGAACACTATGTGCTTAATTGTCCACTTATTGAGGAATACAGAGACAGACAGTATAATAACCTATGTGACATGTCAAGATATCTTACTAATGAAAATAAGATACCAGAGATGTTTAGCAAATTTCCTAAATTTGCTTGTAACGGGGAGGGAGTGAGGGAGATGGAACACAGGGGACTGATCTACTTTACCTTGCAGGAGGAGACCCCCGCAGACTTACAGGATTTTCTAGAGATTTTCGGTACTGGTGCCGCCCACGACGCCCAGCAGAGCAGCAGTAACGACAGCAGGTACTGGACGGCGGCACACAGCAATCGTTCCAGCAGTCAGTTAGGGCACTACGGTGACTTAGCGACCGGTTCATCCGTGGTCCAGTGGGACTCCTTAATGGCCCGGCTGGTTCATCCTGGGGTCCAGTGGGACTCTTTGAAGGTGTTCAGGGACAGCTGTCCAAAAAGTACTACCACAGCTGCAGCAGCAGCAACAGCAGCAGCTCAGCACCTCGTTCGAGCTGCTACCCCCAGCAACAGCAGCAGTATCAGCCTTTTCCCCAAACTAATTCTCCCAGCAGACAATCACCCGGGGGTCACCCACTGTCTAACAACCATGCTGTCCCGTCATTGACACGTCCACCCACCCAACACGACCCCCTAAACCTGGGGGACCAACCCACTCAAATACCAACCCATCCACAGCCCACCCACACACCCATACCTCCCATGGAACCCCATCCAAAAAACCCCTGGCACCTCCAAGAACCCCGCCCCGGAGGGTCTATGGCTCTCTATTTTTTCCCCCAAAGGGCGGGGATATACGGAGAAGACAAAATAGAGAGTTTGACTTAATAAAGCTTTAGAAGACAAATATGAGGTCTGGCTTCCACTCCCTAAAGGAACCCCGGGATTGGGGACCCCCTGGGACCCCAGGTGGGATGCGCAAGAAAGGGCACAGCAGAAGGATATTGATGGCAGGGTTTGGGACTGATCCCCCAAACATCCGCCTGTAGTGCAGTTCCCACAGAAGACTGCCTTCCAGGGGGACTTTAATCTGGTGTTTACTTCCCGGGCCCGTCCCCTAAACTAGTGGTGGTAAGTGTCCTCTCTCTAGTCTACTATTATAACCCTACTACTACTACTAATACTGATATTGATAATAATATCACTGCTACTGCTGTTACTACTACTTCTACCACTATTACTATTACTACTACTATTTCTACTACCAATACTACAACCACTACTAACTACTACGAACACTACTACCACTTTCTACTTTCCACTAACCAGTACTACCACTAATACTACCACTACTACCACTAACCCCTACTACTATCACTACCAAACTACTACCACTACTACTACAACACTACTACCACTACTACACCCACTACTACTAAACCACTACTACCACTACTACTAATTTCTACTACCACTACTAAACCACTACTACTACCACAAATACTACCACTACTACTACCACTACTAAACCCCTACTACTACCACTACTACTACCACTACTACTACCACTACACTACTACCACTACTAAACCCCTACTATTACCATTACTACTACCACTACTATTTACCAATTAACTACTACACCACAACTACACCATTACTACTACCACTATCACTACTACTGCCACTCTTTCAAACCCCAACTACTACCACTACTACTGTCACTACTACCACTTCTACCACTATTACCACTACTACTACCACTACTACTGTCACTACTACCACTTCTACCACTTTTTACCTCTACTACTACCACTACTACTACCACTACTACTGTCACTACTACCACTTCTACCACTATTACCACCACTACTACTACTACTACCACTGCTACTACCACTGCTACTACTACCACAACCAGTACTACCACTAATACTACCACTAATACTACTATTACTACAATTACTACAACTATTACTACTACTACTATCACTATACCCTCACACAGAACACAGAGCAGGATGGTTCACTACGCCTCAACACAGAGAGAGACCATCCCATCACGATGGTCATAGGCCATTTGTCAGACCACAAGACTACTCTCAGACTACTGCTAGTCTACTCCAAGGACTGTGAGGCGTCCCAGCCGGTCCACCCCTGCAAGAACCACCAGGACCCTGTCCATCCCAGTAGGTTCATCTCAGATTACAATAGTAACTACCTGATTACCATAGTAACTATCTGATTACCATAGTAACTATCAGAAAGTAACTATCAGCTTACCTTATTAACTATCAGATTACCTTATTAACTATCAGATTCCCGTAGTAACTATCAGATTATTTTAGAAACTATCTGATTACCATAGTAACTATCTGATTACCATAGTAACTATCTGATTACCATAGTAACTATCAGAAAGTAACTATCAGATTACCATAGTAACTATCTGATTACCATAGTAACTATCAGAAAGTAACTATCAGATTACCATAGTAACTATCTGATTACCATAGTAACTATTAGATTACCATAGTAACTATTAGATTACCATAGTAACTATTAGATTACCATAGTAACTATCTGATTACCATAGTAACTATCTGATTACCATAGTAACTATCAGAAAGTAACTATCAGATTACCATAGTAACTATCTGATTACCATAGTAACATCTGATTACCAAAAGTAACTATCTGATTACCATAGTAACTATCCCGATTTCCATAGTACTATCTGATTACCATAGTAACTATCAGAAAGTAACTATCAGATTACCATAGTAACTATCAGATTACCATAGTAACTATCTGATTACCATAGTAACTATCAGAAAGTAACTATTAGATTACCATAGTAACTATCTGATTACCATAGTAACTATCTGATTACCATAGTAACTATCAGAAAGTAACTATCAGATTACCATAGTAACTATTAGATTACCATAGTAACTATCTGATTACCATAGTAACTATCTGATTACCATAGTAACTATCTGATTACCATAGTAAAATATCTGATTACCATAGTAACTAAACAGAAAGTAACTATCAGATTACCATATACTATCTGATTACCATAGTAAAATATCAGAAAGTAACTATCAGATTACCATAGTAACTATTGATTACCATTGTAACTATTAGATTACCATAGTAACTATCTGATTTCCCTAGTAACTATCTGATTACCTAGTACATAGAAAATAACTATCAGATTACCCTGTAACTATTGATTACCCTTAGTAATTTGATTCCCTAGTAACTATCTGATTTACCATGTAACTATCTGATTCCATAGTAACCCATAGAAAGTAACTATCAGATTATTTAGAAAATACAGATTTTGCCTAGTAACTATTAATTAATAGTAACTATCAAGACCTTTGTAATACCCGATTACCATAACTATAGATTAAAATTTAATTTTACCCCGTAACTACCAGATTATTTTAGTAACTACAAGATTCTTGTTTTTAGATTACTTTTTATTTCCTTTTTTACCAATCTTTTTAGAAATACCCTTCTTTATAACGTTTTAATTCTTTCTCTCTTTCTCCCTCTCCCCTCTCTCTCTCTTCTCTCTCTTTTCTTTCTTCCACAAGCACATGTTATGGGGGAGAAGGGTTGTGGGTGGTCTGGTGGATGGAGGACCCCCACCCCTTCCGTGACCCCCTTTACCCACACATCCCCACAACACTACAGATCCATCGGTTCCTCTGTAGGGGAATCCCTTTACCCGTAAAGGGCCTGACTTATACTTTAGCTGGAGAAAGGGTGAGATGTGGGTGGAGGTTGTGGGGGGGAAATAATAGCCCCGGGGTCTTGAAGACAGCCGGGGTTTGAAACAAAACCAGGGGTCTTAAAGAAGCCCGGGGTCTTGAAGACAGCCCGGGGTCTAAAGAAGAGGGGTTTTTAAGACAGCCAGGGGTTTTAAGACAGCCGGGGTTCTGAAGAAGCCAGGGGTCTTTAAAAAGCCCGGGGTCTTGAAAACAGCCGGGGGCTGAAGACAGCAGGGGGGCTTAAAGACAGCCCGGAGTCTTGAAGACAGCCCGGGGGTTGAAGACAGCCAGGGGCTTAAAGACAGCCAGGAGTCTTGAAGCAGCCCGGGGGTTTTGAAGACGCCGGGGGTTTTAAGACAGCCAGGGGGGCTTAAAGCAGCCCCGGGTCTTGAAGACAGCCAGGGGTTTGAAGACGCCCCGGGTTTAAAACAGCCAGGGGCTTGAAGACAGCCAAGGTTCTTAAAGACAAACCCGGGGTTTGAAGACAGCCAGGGGTCTTAAAAACAGCCGGGGGGTTTTGAAGACAGCCGGGGTCTTAAAACAGCAGGGGCTTTAAGCGCCCCGGGGGTTCTAAAACACCGGGGGCTTGAAGACAGCCAGGGGTCTTAAAGACAGCCAGGGGGTTTTGAAGACAGCCAGGTCTTAAAGACAGCCGGGGTCTTAAAGCGCCAGGGGTTTTGAAGACACCCGGGGTCTTAAGACAGCCCCGGGGTCTTTAAAACGCCAGGGGGTTTGAAGACGCCAGGGGTCTTAATCAGCCCGGGGTTTGAAGCAGCCAGGGTCTTAAGCAGCCCGGGGTTTTTTGAAGACAGCCCGGGGTCTTAAAGACAGCCCGGGGTCTTTTAAAACAGCCAGGGGTTCTGAAGACAGCCAGGGGTCTTAATGACAGCCAGGGGTCTTAAAGACAGCCAGGGGTTCTGAAGACAGCCAGGGGTCTTAATGACAGCCAGGGGTCTTAATGACAGCCAGGGGTCTTAAAGACAGCCAGGGGTTCTGAAGACAGCCAGGGGTCTTAATGACAGCCAGGGGTCTTGAAGACAGCTATGGGTCTTAAAGACAGCCACTGGTCTTAAAGACAGCCATGGGTCTTGAAGACAGCCAGGGGTCTTGAAGACAGCCATGGGTCTTAAAGACAGCCAGGGGTTTTGAAGACAACCGGGGGTTTGAAGAGAGCCAGGGTCTTGAAGACAGCCAGGGGTCTTGAAGACAACCGTGGGTCTTGAAGACAGCCAGGGGTCTTAAAGACAGCCAGGGGTTTTGAAGACAACCAGGGGTTCTGAAGAGAGCCAGGGGTCTTGAAGACAGCCAGGGGGCTTGAAGACAACCAGGGCTTGAAGCACCCAAAGGGTCTTAAAGAAAATATGAATCTTGAAGACAGCCGCGTTTTCAAGACCCCGGGGGGTCTTGAAGACACCCCATGGGTTTGAAGAAAAGCCGGGGGCTTGAAACAGCCGGGCTCAAAAGCAACCCGGGCTTTAAGACACCAGGGGGCTTAAAGACAGCCAGGGCTTTTTAAAGACAACCAGGGTCTTTAAGGGACAGCAATGGGTCTTAAAGACAGCCAGGGGTCTTAAAGACAGCCATGGGTCTTGAAGACAGCCAGGGGCTTAAGACAGCCATATTTTTAAGCAGCCAGGGGTCTTAAAAACAGCCATTTCATAAAGACACCCATGGATTTAAAGACACCAAGGATCTTTTGGTAACCCCCCTTATGTATGCTGGGAAGCAATTGAACAGTCTTGGTCCCATGACATTTTTGTGTTGTTATAGCGTACTCGTGGCCCCCCCTGCCTTCACGTGGGTGTTCCTTCCTCCCAATCTTTTCTTTCGTAGGGAGATGTCCGTGTTTACCTTCCTCAGAAAATGCCTCTGCTACGAGACC